AAACAAAGGAGGAGGCTACAATGCTTGATAAGAAATGTACTCATTATCTTGCCCATGTAATTGTAACCCCTCTGTGCAGTATTTTCACAATTAAAAAATAGTTACGGATGGCAAATATCTAAATCTGCAAAACTTAGTTGCATTCATTCTGTATTTTTTTTTCATGACTACATGTGCTCGGGAAAGGCAAACATATCAAATTATATAGTAATCCCCGAAGCTTCCTGTGTCTGTTGTTCTCAGTCCCCACCAACGGTAGAGTTTTGAGGTTTGTTTTATGTTTTGATAGCCATTTTGCTTGTCTCAGAGTCTCATTTTCATGAAATCTGATTACATTCTGTGGATACTGCCTTAGTGGAAGGCTTCCCTGAGCTCCTGTGTTTACAATCTTCTCTTGATTCTCCTCTAAAATGGATGGTTCAGCTGATCTGGAGAATTTTGACTTTCAGGTCTGTTTCCTGCCATTCTCAATCTGGCCAGCAATGCTCACATCAGTGCCAATGCCACCTGTGGGGAGAAAGGGCCTGAGATGTACTGCAAACTTGTGGAGCACGTGCCTGGCCGGCCAGTGCGGAATGCCCAGTGCCGGGTCTGTGACAGCAACAGCACCAACCCCAGAGGCAAGTGCAAAGAAGCAACAGGGGATTCTTTGTTTTACTGTATCTGGATAGGTATCTATTTGTCTATCCTATCTATCTATCTATCTATCTATCTATCTATCTATCTATCTATCTATCTATCTATCTATCTATCTATCATGTATTTATGTATGTATGTATGTATGTATGTATGTATGTATCTATCTATCTATTTATCTATCTGTATCACCTTTTTATCTACTGACTTGTCTACCTCTCCTTCAGTCACTCCTCTATCTGTCTGTCTGTCTCTCTCTATAATCTCTTGATATAAAATCTATTTACCTATCATCTTTCTCTCCCTCCCTCTCTCCATCTGTCCCTCCCTCCCTCTCTTCCTTTGTGTCTTTTTCTGTCTTTCATTTCTTTCTTTCTCTCTATCATATATCTGTTTCTCATGCCTATCTGTCTGTCTCTCTACCTCCATACATAGCTCCCATGTCTATTCATCTGTCATCAATCTAGCTACTTATTTGTGTGTATGATTGGATTGATGGATGAAGGGGATGGAACCCAGGATCTCATACCTATTCTATACCTCTGAGCTGTGCCCACAGACCACCCCCTCCATGGGAATTTATACTTTCTAAAGTAACTGAAGACTTTCAACAGGAAGCCATGAACTTTGTGTTTACCTTTGACCGCTATTCATTTGCAATGTGTTTAGAAGTTCAAGAATTTAAGGCTAAACTGAGAGGAAATCATGTGTTATTTTCTTTTAACAGAAAGCCACCCAATAGCACATGCAATAGATGGCACCAATAACTGGTGGCAAAGTCCCAGTATTCAAAATGGGAGAGAATACCACTGGGTTACCATCACTCTGGACTTACGACAGGTAGGTCAGGCCACCATGTCTGGAAGGGGTTCTGTGGGCTGCTGACCCAAGCTCCTGGGAACTGTGTCCTCCCAAGTGTGGTAAGTGATCTACCAAAGCAGTCACACTCCTTCCCTAGTGTCTTTGAAGAGACCAGTGGAGTTCCTTCCCTGTGGTGATGTTCTTTACAGCAGGCTCACTCATAGCTCAGGAAACTATGCTTGGGTGTGTGCTAGATGCCCTGGGGTTGGCGGGGAGACACAGGTGCACTGGAGAGGGAATGTGAGCAGAAGGAATGCAGTCTCACCAGTCAGACTCACTGTCTTGCTATTATCATCATGCAAGCTTATCACATAAGGCGTGACCAAGTCTGGGACACACACCATAGCTTACCCTGTCCAATGTTGTCTGTCATGGTCATATGTAAACTGGAATTGTTAAGGACTAACATGAGTGAACCCTTTAGTGTGAGGTAGGAAAGGCCAGGTAGAACAGACCCTGGTCACACTTTCTCTAGAACAGTTATTGCATAAAATGCAATTAATTTCAATTGCTTTTGTGTTGGAACTCACAGATTTCATGTAAGTCTTTATATCAGTTTAAAGAGACAGACGGTGGAGGTATGTGCAGAAAACTGGAAGTGGTGCTGTAGCTCAAGTGGTAGAGTGCTTGCCTTGAGCTGAAGAGCTCTGGGACAGCGCTCCAGCCCAAGAGTTCAAGCAACACCACTGGCCAATATGTGTGTGTGTGTGTGTGTGTGTGTGTGTGTATGAATTATGGAGGTTTGGTAGCAAATAATTGGAATTCTTTTGAGCAAGAGATGGCTTAAAAATGTTCAAGATCCCAAGTAGAAGACAAGTTGTTACTGTGGATATTCATGTAACATTTAGTCTCTAATAATTACAATAAATAAAGTATCAGATTTGAAGTTCACAATACATTATCCAATTCCATGTTCACAGGTTAATGGTAGTCAATACCATTTTCCACAGCTTTCATCCATAAGACTTGAGGAACCTTTCATCCATAAGACTTGAGGAAACACCTTACTGCTTTCAAATCCTCCTAAGGGAAAGGAGAAAAGAGTCCCTTTTGTTGTTCTTGCCTTTGTCTGTCTGTCCTTTCTTTCTTTCTTTCTTTCTTTCTTTCTTTCTTTCTTTCTTTCTTTCTTTCTTTCTTTCTTTCTTTCTTTCTTTCTTCTCTCTCTTTCTCTCTTTCTCCCTCCCTTCCTTCCTCCCTTCCTTCCTCCCTCTCTTTCTTCCTCTCTTTCTTCCTCTCTTTCTTCTTCTCTTTCTCTCTTTCTTTCTCTCTTTCTTTCTCTCTTTCTTTCTCTCTTTCTTTCTCTCTTTCTTTCTCTCTTTCTTTCTCTCTTTCTTTCTTCTCTCTCTTTCTCTCTTTCTCCCTCCCTTCCTTCCTCCCTTCCTTCCTCTCTTTCTCTCTTTCTTTCTCTCTTTCTTTCTCTCTTTCTTTCTCTCTTTCTTTCTCTCTTTCTTTCTCTCTTTCTTTCTCTCTTTCTTTCTTTCTTTCTTGTGGACATGGGGCTTGAACTGGGGCTTCGGCACTGTCCATGAGCTCATCAGCTCAAGGCAAGTACTCTACCACTTGAGCTATAGTGCCACTGCCAATTTTCTGGTGGTTAATTGGAGATCAAAGTCTCATAGACTTTCCCGCTCAGGCTGGCTTTGAACTGTAGTACTCAGATCTCAGCCTCCTGAGTAGCTAGGATTACAGGTGTGAGCCACCAGTGCCTGGCACTAGCCTTTGTGTTTTTGTTTTTTGTTTCTTCAAATCCTTTATTGTGATTAAGTGATTACATAATTTTCCAAATTTCACAGTATTGTGGGATAGTTATGCTTAGTTAAAGTCACAAACACATTCTAACTTACATGGTGGCCTTTGTTTTTATCTTAGTGTTAAGAAGGGTTCTGCCATCACCTCCACAGTTTACGTTCCTTTTTCTAAGGGAAAAATATAATCATGTTCATTATTGGGAATATGACTGTTAGGAATACTAGGGTTGGACAAGTGTCCTTCAAAGGTGCATGTGTTAAAGATTTTGTCTGCAGGTTGACACTGTTGGAAGGTGGTGGAACTTTAAAAGGTGGGGCCTAGCAAGAATATGCTAGGTCATTGGGTATGTGTCATGAAAGGAGATATGGGTAATGTAGTCCCTTCTTGTCTCTCATTCTATGTTGTGCTTCCTCTATTTCACACTCCTGCCACTATGTACTACCTGACAGAGACACAAAAGCAATGAGCCAGATGGACTAGAACCTCCAAATCTATGAGCCAATTCAAATCCCTCCCGCCTATAGACTGATTGCCTCAAGTATTTTGTCACAAAGATGGAAAGCTACCATTTGGACAAATTAAAACTATACTCAACAGTATACTGCACAATATACTGAAATGGGAACAATAGAGAGCCTCTGTGCAAGAATAGCACACAAAGTCATGAAGCATTTCATCTTTCTGTAGCAATAACCTCTCTGTACATCATTTGCAATAAAAATAAATAAAATAAGTAAAATAATAAAGAGCATAACCTACTATTTGAAAGAAAAAAATAATTGGGTATTTTACATACAGACCTCAGAGCCGCGCTGGAATGTCCTTTGTCCTGACATTAATTCTGCTTTACTTCACCCTGAAGGAACCCATTTTGCTTCAGTTTGCATGGAATTCCAGTAGGGAGCAACTCTTTTAGATTTGAAGGGCCTATTTCAAAACCAAGCAAATATGTATAGTTATGGAAATCTAGTTAATCTCTAGTGTTTGGGGATAGGTTTCTAAGGAGATAATTCATTAGAGCAATAGTGCTCAGGTATTTCTTTAGTTTCCAGTGGAGGGAGGAACCTTTTCTCTGCGAAGGGCCATTTGGATATTTATAATACTATTCCAGGGCCATACTTAATACAGATAGATGGATGTGGGCAGCTTCAAGAAGCGTATAAGATGCTTATGTGTCCCACTTGGCCTTATATAAATAGGGTAGAAAAAATCATCTATGCTTTTAGTTTAAACCAATGCATCATATAGACAAACTCTTTGGATTTTATCGAGCCTTTTTATTGTGAATGATTTTATACATAGAAAGCTCATTAAAACAAGTATGCACATATACAACTGGGAAAAACCTACCATGTTTGTTTTAGGTGAATTGCAATCATTAGGATATTTCATCAACAATTCTGTTTATAGATTCAAATAAATATGTTTGTTCTGAATAGATACATGCTATTAGCCCCTTAACAAAATTAACAGAACATTTGTGTGTGTGTGTGTAAATACTGGGGTTTGAACTTAGGGTCTGGATGCTGTCTCTGAACTTTTTTGCTCACAGCTAGTGCTCTATCACTTGAGCCACACCTCTACTTCAAGCTTTTTGGTGGTTTATTAGAAATGAGTCTTATAGCCTTTTCTGCCTAGACTGGCTTCTTCAGATCTCAGCCTCATGAGCAGCTAGGATTATAGGCATGAACCACTGGTACCCAACAGGAATTCTTAATAATGGTTTCATCATTCAGATTTTGTACCTGCACTGATCTGAAGTGTCTTCCACTTTAAAAAATGATATTGGATCTTTGTATAGTTCATGCTATTTGCTTGAAGAGCATACCACATACTGTGTTTGCTGGATAGTTTACCATTTTATTTGTTCCTGAATGTCTTCACACTGGTTTTTGTTTTGTTTTGTTTTGTTTTAATCAGCTGAACTCAGCTTAGACATTGGATTAAATTTCATTACATAGCTTTTTGCAAGAAGGCATCTTGGGTGGTCCTCATACTTCACTAAGCCTGGCCGCCTCTGGGTGAGCCATCCAGGAACAAGGCTGCTGAATCTGTAGCCTGTTTCCCGATGACATGTGATCTCCTACAGCTATCTCTCTGTTACTCCTACATTCTGCTGTTTCTTAGATCTGGCCAGTATGCGTATCTCCAGCTTGGCTATTCCTTCTTGTGATGTTTTCTAGTACCAAAATTTTTGCATTTCCTTCTCCAAACAGCTATCAGACAGCTACTTGTTAATTTGTAGGTTATATCCTCCATGAGGGCTTTTCTCTTTCTTCCTTTCTTCTATCTCTTCCCTTTTCTTTCCTGGTTAATGTTTCCTGAGGTATATCTTGCTCTCTCTTGCATGCTATTAGCCCCTAGACATTGACACAGTTCAAGCATGGAATGAATAATCAGTGTAGATCAAGCAATCCTGTCCTTCCTTCCTTCCTTCCTTCCTTCCTTCCTTCCTTCCTTCCTTCCTTGCTTCCTTGCTTCCTTGCTTCCTTGCTTCCTTGCTTCCTTCCTTCCTTCCTTCCAGCAGTGATGGGGTTTGAATTTAGGCCTTATGCTTTTCTGATGGGCTCTCTACTACTTGAGCCATGTTTTCAGCCCTTTTACTTACTTTTTGCCTTACTTATTTTTATTTCCAGGTAGGGTTTCCTCCACTCCCCCCACCCTCCCCAGGGCAGCTTTGAATTAAAATCCACCTATCTATAATCCGCTACACATTTGGGACCATAGTATGTGCCATCACACCCAGTTTCTGTGTTGATAATGGAGTCTCAAAGAACTTTTTCCCAAGCTAGCCTTAAAATACAATTCTCCCTATATCTCTGCCTACTGAGTAGCTGGGATTACAGGTGTGAGTCACTGTATCTGACTGCCAATGCTTATTTTTCTAAGTTTAATTTTCTTTCTTCTTCCTCCTCTTGTTAACTCACAGCCTGGTTTAGAGAAGTCAATGAACAAATGATTCTTTTGACTCCTTTGTTTCTGTGCTATAAAAATTAGCATCTAAAGTATAGATTTCTAAAACAGAATTATAGCTAAATGTGTTCATGTAGCTTAGTAAATAAGACAGCTCTTGAGATCTTATGATCAGGTTAGCTTTGTTTTGGGTTGTCAAATACTAAAAATATTCATCTCATTCTTGATTCCCTAGTTGATGACAGCTGTTGAAATTACACCATTTGCAGAGTCTTTGTATAATGATTGGTTATCTGGAAGATAAGGATAACAAAGAG